GCCTTAATTCGTTTCTTTGCTGGACTACCTTTGCTGGACTGTGAATTTACCTTTGCATGTGCATGTTTTCCTGATGGATGCGTCGTCGTCGGTCGATGTACGTCGCCGTGGTCCTGTCACTCGGGAGATGACCTGCGGGCTATTATGTTTTATTATGTTTTATCCTTTCCCTTGGTAGGATAAATACCACGAACCCCCGACCGAGCGGAAGCCATGGACTGAGCTATAAACCGTCCCCTGGATCTGGATCAGTGCTTGTGTATGACAGCTGGATCGCGATGACCAAAGCTGTCCTAACACGCTGAGGAATTCTGAGAATGCACCAATTCAGCAGACAGTTCTGATATGCTCATGGTGGTCGCTGTGCAATGCTGCTTTTCTCGAGGGACGCAACCCATGTATGACAGACGAGCAAATATGGGTGTGGCCGGTCGTTACAGTCCAATGGGACACAGGTCGTGGATGCAGCTCCATATGGCCCCTATGTGACCCTACACCTCACTGCTGGGCTCGGCATACAGAAGGGTCCAGAGTTTTCCTGGGCCCCGCCGTTAGCAGTGGTGGTGGACAGCTGGACAAAGTATGTCTTCCGTCTGCAGGAGACAAGAAGATAAACAATGGAACAGAGCTTGATGAAGAACAGGTCGAAGCAGACCATATCCCCGCTTCAACGCCAAATCCTTACGGGGTTTGACCGATGACCCAGTACCGCTGAATGGGCGATGACCGAAGATGAAACACAACCTCCTGAAGAGAGTGGGAAAGTTGTGAAACCGTACAGTACTGAGCGGCTGGGGACTACACACACAGTTCTTGCCTGCAACAGATGGAGTCGCAAGTTTCACCCTGATGATACTCTACCCCCTGAGTAGCAGTTGAGACGCAACCGGGGCTTGGTGGATGATCACTTTTTGCCTGATGACTAACGGTGTCGCAGCCTTTCTGGTTTGTCGTACAGCGCCTCAGCTCAGAACCGAGTCGTAACCAAAGTTTGAGGCACATGCCCTCAAAAGTAGTTGAGCCCGCATCCACGTTGTCTTGTAAGCTGTGGTTTATTGGCGAGTTTACTTCGTTTGGTTTGGATAGTGGCATGCATGGGCAGCTTGCAGTGTCACACCGACTTGTGCACCTATGGATCCTCGCCTGGCTTGTCCGAGTTGTGAGAGTGTAAACCCTACACCCTTAAACCCTAAACCCTAAACCCTTAAACCCTAAACCCCTAAACCCCTAAACCCCTAAACTCTAAACCCCTAACCCCTAAACCCCTAAACCCTAAACCCCTAATCCCGAAATCCCTAAACCCTAAACCCCATAGGTTTCTGCACAAACTCAGCAGTGCCGAGTCGGAGTGGAGGGCTTGCGCTGCAAGTGGGTAAGGCACCTTCTGCGAACTCCAAATGGGTAGTTCTCTAAATTCGGGCCCTTCTAGTGTCCTGTTTATAAGGGTGCCGCACTATATTGGGGACCTAAAAAAGGGACCCTTAATTTAGAGAACTCCCCAGATAGGGGCCTACAGAATTACCTATACTATTTTGGGGGTTCTTTATTATGATCATAGTATCCCCCTAAAGAGGGACCCTAATTTAGAAAACTACCCAACCCTAAACCCTAAACCCTAAACCCTAAACCCTAAACCCTAAACCCTAAACCCTAAACCCTAAACCCTAACCGTAAAGGGGTCCAGAGCTGAATGGGAGGTGTGGCAGCGACTGCAGGGCATAGAGGATGTCAACATCCCGCGGCTGATGGAGACGCCGCCCGGCTCTTCTTGCAAGCTGTTCTCCCTGCGAAATTGAAAGTGGCTGAGAGCTTTCGTAGTTTACGCCTGTTCCTGGAGGTGCAGTTGTGCTGTTCGTTTGAGGAGCCCAGGTTCTGAATTAAACCGAGGGCGTACGCTGCCCTTCTGGAGACTGCCTTGAAGCAAGACCTTGCAGCGAGGCTCCTTCGACCACAGGTCACATGAGGTCTGAAGCCCCCGACGAGTAGAAGTCCTTCAGGCTGGTTTAGGGTGTAGGGTTCAGGGTTTAGGGTTTAGGGTGGAAGGCTCAATTAAGTTCCGGGGACGGTCGATCACAGACAAGCTTCGGAGGCCCCTCAGCATCGTAAGGTTGAGCGAGTTCTCTCCTTTCTCATCTCCATCGAAGCTGAGGCTCATGACTATCCATGCGGAGCAGGTATTTTCCGACGGCCTCTTCAACGCCGATCCCCATCCTGGGAACGTGCTTCTGCTTAAGGTCGGGAGGTTGTGAAACAGAGAGTCCTTTCCTGTTGAACAAAGACAGCTCATCTTCGACCCGCCCCGAACCGAGCTCCGGGTGACCCTGCAGGATACTTCGCGACTCGTTGGTCTCATCGATTTCGGCCAGGTGAAGGATGTGGCTCACGCTTGGGAACTTGTGAAGTGTCTTATTTGGTAGCTCATAACACATGAGACAGCAAGATTCCTGTCACCTTGCTGACCGTCCTTGCTTTGTTGCTGCACCCTTTGCAACATGTGCAACAGTCGCGTCGCTTTCCATCTGCGATGTCCGCAACTCAAGGATTCTTCCTCAGCGTTCCGAAAGCCTTATACCAGGCCCTTATAGTAACCCCCATAGAATCTTCAAGGAACCCTCTTCCAAATTTTCAGGCCCCTACACAACGGAAGCTCGTGGTTAGGAGTTGTCCATCGATTTCCGGATCCAGCTCGCCAAGCTGCCCGTTGGCTTGATCGAAGGATTCGCGCAAAGGGGTTTAGTTTACTCGTAATTATGGCTGATAGGGTTTCTATTGCGGTTGACGGTTTTTGTTTGAAGGTGCTCTTTAGGCTAATTGGTCAAACTTGGTGTGTGGCATTTATAGGCTTTCATAAAGGCTTTGGCCAGGACTTGAGAGGCAGTGTTAGTGAAACGCTAGCCGACTTCAACGCAACCAGGTTAAGGGCCTCCAAATGCGAGATAAAGGTACAGACTGATGAAGGATCCCTTGTGTAGGGACAGTCTCCTACTTGGGATTCCCTACCACCTGCCTTGATCACACCCGTGAGACCCTTGACAAAGAAAAAAGTCGAGCAGTGGGTTTTGGCGTCGAGCGGAAATTGATACGATGGCTTCGCGCCGGGAGGAAGGATGCCCTAGAGTAGCCATCCCAAGGGGCTCAAAGCTGTCATCATGGGTTGTTTGGAAAAGGCAAACGCCGGGAATGCACAACCGAAAGCGACCGAGGATGGTTGCCTTGGCAAGAAGAGATCAGGAAGAGGTGATACGTGTCGACAAGGAGATTTAGATTGGGTGAGTTTCCGATCCTCCAAGAATATGGACTTGGTTTTGCAGACGACGATGAGGCTACTAAGCGTCTAATCGCCAGGGAAAGCACAATCTCGGGTGCACTGCACTGGTCGTCGCAATAATTCCCCAAGACCGCTAGTTTCGGATCTATAGTCGTCTCAATCAGTTCATCCAGCTTCGAGGGGTTTGATTTCGTGATGAGGAGGGCAGCTTCTCTGTTGCGTTCGAAGTGCCGCAATGCCCTTTTCGGGGCATCGGTATCCTGAAGGGTCCATGTACCTTTTCATTCTAGACTTGGGCTTCAGGGGGCGAATCGTGAGAGCTTTGCAATCCCATCCGAAGGAGATGGGTAGCCGCACTCGCCACTCCAAGCCGGACGTGCGGCATCTCGGGCAGAGAGTCAAATTTAATGCATTCCAGGGACTCAGTGGGCCGGACCTCCAAAAGGCAAAAGGGGTCGATATAGTAAGTAGGAACATCCCCTTGTAGTCACAGTCCTCATGCAGCCACCCCAAACTCCAATACTATTTCCAATCGTCATGGGCCATATGGGTGGTTGTCAAAATTATGGTCCCTTTTTGGGTCCTTATTATAATACGGCACCTATTATTTAGGGTACCCCAAAAGGGACCATAATTTTGACAACTACCCATATGTTGCGCTGAGGTACAAGGTCTTGACCTTCTGGTTAGACCGCGATACGGACGACGTCACCGGTGGTCGAAGCTTCCACGACTTCTTGGCCTGGGCAGAGGTAGTCTCAGGGAGGTTTGGGCTTTGCACGGAACGTGGGGGGGGTACTTGGGGGATCAGAGGACTCAGCATGTACTTGAGGATATAGGCTAACTGGGCTAACTGGGCTATACGGTGGCAATTTGCAGTTTCATTTACGTTTGCCCTGCCTTTTGCGCCAGATACTATGTAAGCTCATGAGCGTTTAAGTGTCAGGCATAAGGAAAGGCTTCTTCAGCAGGATTTGGCAGCCGCCCCTACACAGGGAGCCTGCAGCTTCACGGAGTAAGTTTTGAGACTGCAGAAGGCAGAAGCTCTGCTGCGTCTCGAATTGTGAACAAGACGTTGTGGCAAGCACAAGCAGAGCCCACGTTCCGTGCGTCGTGAAAATCTGCCCTGCAGGCCGAAGATCCACTGCTCGACATGCCACAGGAGCTTCATTTGGTCATGCGATGCTCCTGCATGATACGCCCTTTGCCGTACCTACTGCGGAGGGGCTGGCATTCGGTGGAATAAGGCTATGAGCGAGATACCGGGCTTGACGGAGGTGTTGAGTATTCACACAAAATGCTTCGGAGATGATGGCAGAGTTGCTCGAAGTACTATGTTGGTGCAGGATGCAGGACATACAGAAGCGCCTCAATCAAATGCATGCGCTTAATTCGGAGGCAGACTAGGAATATCACCCATGTTCTGCTTGCAATATGTATCTGCAGTTACTTCGACCGACCGACGGACAGACTTCAGGTCGCAGCCCAAGAAAGAGTAGAGCTGAAGTTTTTGTTTGCGCGCACAGAAGGGTAACAACCTGGTGCCTATACGCTGAAAGGGTCGGTTAAAGATGTAGTGCGGATGCGCCAATGTGCTTTGTATACTAGTTGGGTGTGGGCGCGAAGACTGTAGCGCTTCTCCGGAGGAGTTCGGGTGGGGTCGAGTTTGGTAGAGTCTTGCAGCATGGATAGCATCGCGCAGCGTAGGTACCTTCTGCAACCAAGGTAATTTGGCCCTGACCTTTGGCATCCGGCTGTCCACAGCAGAGTATTGGAGACCGGTGGCACAAGCACTGCTTCAGAAACATGGCGTTGCCTACTGAGATGACATGGGATGGGATGTTCGGAGAGGCCACCGTGACAAAGCAGATGCCGCCAAATGGGAATTGCGGGCACGGGCTCGGGCGCGATTGCGCCCGCTGCAACATCTCGATACCTCATGCTGCAAACTGCCTGGGCGACTGCATTGTGAGTGGCTTCGTTCTTCTGGCTGGGCCAAAGTAACTAGGTCGTCCACAAAATGCGGGAACTCAAAGGGTGCCATGCAAGTTCTGCCCACGGACGAAAGCGAATTTAGAATCTAAGTTGGCGTCGATGCATTTGCGACATATACAGCTGCACGACCATCGGCATCGAGGGTTCTGCTTTCAAAGTTTATGGCACCTGAGATGTCGACCACTGCTGCGATCAAGAGAGACGACGACGCCGCCGACGGAGCACGAGCCAGAAGATGCGAGAAGCCAGCATGAACACTAAGACTACTGTAAGTTGTGGTTGCTGTAATTGACAAAGCCCCGTAACCAACGACAACCATCACGACCACGATCATGATGACCACTTCCACGTGCTGGTGCTGGAAAAAGGGCAGCAAGCCTGCTTTCGAGCGTCGTCAGCAGACAAGTGCAAGTGCAGTTGTTCGTGATGACCACAGCACTAAACCCCTGTATCCCAGATCGTGCGAGTCGAAATCCCAGATCGTACACGGCCAGGGGCACCTCAGTCAGACCGCTCCCGCCGCGAGCCCTGCAAATTGGGCAACATCCGACATTCACGGCATGCCGGTTTTGGGGCAGGGCTTAAAAACCGACGAGGCCCCTAGCGGCAACCGTTGGACCCCAGCAGAGCTTCGAATGAGGCCGAGCCACCTCATGCACCTTATCCCGGCTCATGGCCAGCACCGCTACGCCGAGGACGTCGCGCAGATCCTCGAAAGCTTTGTGTATGATAAGGTTGCAGCATTACAGGTCTGTGTGGGCATCCTAAACACCAAAACCCCGAATAGGTGTTTCTTACAGACCTTCAGGCCCGGATTTCGCAGGTTTGTCCGAAAGGTCGCGTAGGCCTAGGCCTCGAATGGCTAGTTGCGATGCGAGGGGGTAGATCCTGTTGAGAGCTTTGTACTAACATCCGGCCAGCATTCTGTTTATTGATTCCAAGAGGGCTTATGGGCGACGCGAAAGAATCGCGTTTTTTCCTGCGTACCAATGGGCCGTGGACCCAAAACCCTAAACCTTGCTTGGCGTGTCTCCTCTTTTTGTGCCACGTTGACTTTGTGCAGGGTGCCTTGCTCCTCACCTGAAGCATTCGTTGCCTTCGTTTCGGTCAGCTCTCTTTGCTACAGCTAGGGTGCAGCCCAATTGAGTTGGTCGGAACTGCAGCAGAAACTGCACACAGGGCTACTGTTAAACTCCAGCTGGCGCGCCCAGTAAGATTAGGGAGGAGGACGCTGTAAGCTTAAGGCAGTATACGGGGTCTAGGGTGCTCGCACATCCATTGCTTCACTTGCAGGACAAGGGCTCCGATTGGAGTGATGTACGGGCCGGAGATCGCAATCCGCGAAAGGCCGCTTAAACCCTAAACCCTAAACCCTAAACCCTAAACCCCTAAACCCCTAAACCCCTAAACCCTAAACCCTAAACCCTAAGAGGATTTACAGGCTATTCGAGCTGTGCGGGGCAAGCTGAGCTCAGTTTTGTGTCGTCCTGTGAGGCCAACCATGTGCCCTGGAGTGACATACGGCTCAGTTAACACAAGGGTTTAGGGTTTAGGGTTTAGGAGCAGACTTTCCGGAGCCGGGCACCGTGCTTTTGCCTGGGGAGCACTACGAAGTCTGTCTACAGGAGATTCACTGCAGGTTGGGGCTAAGCAAGTCTTGCGGAGATGATAGACTCTGATAGACTTGAATGTCTTGTATGGCAGTATGTGAATTGAAAAAGCTTGTATTCCATGCCCTCCAGACTCTTGAGTAGTTTGCGTAGTTAGTTAGTTCGCCTGCTCAAATTGAGCACCGACAAAATTCGCCCAGCATATAAAATGTCTGGGCTGTCGAATTGGATGTAAGGTGCGTCTTCACACCTGCTGAGGAAAGGGAGAAGGGGGATGTTGACAAATCTCGGCGGCTCATGGATTGAGTTCAGAGGTACGTGATGGATCACAAGGAATGGATACAGGGTAGGATTTTAGAGAGCGTATTTAGTGGGCAAGGTATCAGAAGGAACCCCAGAAGCTACAGTAGAGTTGGGTCGCCTAAACCCTAAACCCTAAACCCTAAACCCTAAACCCTAAACCCTAAACCCTAAACCCTAAACCCTAAACGCATAGCGGGGGCCAGAGATGCCGCCGAAACTCGAGTTTGCACGTAGGCATACAGTAGAAGCCCAAAAGTTGGAAACCCCATAGCCTCAATCCCTAAGAGTAATGTACTGGAAATCCCAGCATTATTTATCCTTAATCCGGTTTCCAACTTTTTGGGGTTTACCATAAGGGTAAGCAGATGCAGCGAGTCCACCTTCCACATTGCAAGTTGTACAGCCCAGCGTTTGCTGACCGTTCTTTGCCGAGAGCGCAGATGGACTTGAGAAAAGCACTTGCGTCCGGAAGTGTTTAACAGTCCTATAGCCCCTAGGCTGAGGAGTTCATGTGTTCCTTTACTGTATGATGCCCCAGCTTTTGCACATCTCTCTGTGTGTGGCGGGAAGCCATGGGCAACCTGGTTTTGTGCCGGTGCCTGCCTGTTGTGGCATCTTCTACATATGCGGCGTGCCGCCGAGGTCAGGACCTTGAAGGTAGATCCAACCTTTCCTTGTAAGTACATATCCCAGACAGACATACATGCCTACATCAGCGCAGACAGACGCAGAGGCATGAGTCTGAGTGTGTAAGTAAGGTAAGTAATCAAGCAAGGATGTATGCATGTATGTGCATGTGTATGTATGTATGTATGTATGTACGTATGTATGTATGTATGTATGTATGCATGTATGTATGTATGCATGGATAGGTAGGACAGGTAGGAAGATAAATTGATAAATAGTTGGATGGATAGATACATAAGAATCACGCCGCAAAGCCCAGTGCGGGAGTTGAAATCCCAATTTCGATGAAGCCCTTCATGTTACACGTAAGACCGGTTCTTCCCTGGGGCGTCTTGAAACAGCCCTATATAGAGCATCCTATAGACTTCTATTTTCCCTAAACCCTAAGTTTTGAGAGAACCCCGAAAGGATCTTCCATAAATATCTACCTTAAACTACCAAACCCTACTTTTTTGTAGGTTCCTATTATAAACCCGAATATGGTATTTATAGGGACCCTACAAAAAAGTGGGTTTTGGTAGGTTAAGGTTTAGGGTTTAGGGTTTAGGGTTTAGGGTTTAGGGTTTAGGGTTTAGGGTTAAGGTAAAGACACACACTTTTCCAGCATCCTCCGGCTGCCATGGCACGCCGTCTTCGGCCGTCAGCCCCCAGGGCCCGGGTCCCTAAACCCAACATGGGGGGTTTAGGGTTTAGGGTTTAGGGTTTAGGGAGTTTCCGAGATTTAGGGGCTAGGATCCTTATTATAAGGACCCCAAAATAAGGTACCCCTAATTTAGGGGGACCTTATTTTGGGGTCCTTATAAGAAGGATCCTACTATTTAGGGTACTATAGGTTCGGGACCTTTTTTTGTCGGAGATCCCCATATGTTGAGAGCTCGCTGCTTACGATGTCTGCCATCCCGAGACTCGGAGCCTGGGTCAGGTTTTATGTTGAAACGGACTTCTGTGCACAGGGTCCCCGGCTTTCTCGGTTTAAGGTTTAGGGTTTAGGGTTTATTCAAAAGGGTTTAGGGTTTAGGGTTTTGGCTGCATGGTGAAAATCGCAAACTGGCTCCGAGACTGTAGGGGTAGGACGCAGGACAGCTGCTCCCGATGCCGCTGTAGCAAGATCCGGTTGGCATGAAACTTTCCCAGTTTCGCGCAGGCCGAATCTCTATACTCGTACTCGTGCCGGCTTCGGCCTAATGGTCGCTTGAGGTTTTCCATGCCTTAAGCCTTGTGATCTCAGTTTAGGGTTTTGGGTTTAGGGTCTAGGGTTTAGGGTTTAGGGTCAGCCGTTTGAGCACACCCCGAGGTTCTCGCAGCAGCTCTTTTGGTGTCCACCAGTCTGCAAGGCTTGGGCCCGTTTGATGTAGGGACCCCTAATAATTAGAGTAAGGTTTTTGGGGGCTCCTTAGTCTAAGTATAGTATACCGCAAATCCTAGTCTAATTATTAAGGCCCCTACAGTACTTTATGGTTTGCTCTTGCAGGACATGCTCTACATTGCATGGCTCGCATTGCTGTTCGGACTGGAACCAACTAAACCGTTTCATTCGTCAGGCAATGTGTCCTTCATTCAGCGACATGACATTTGGACATGCTGACGGTCTAGGGTGAGGCAGTCGAGAGCTTCAGAAACTTCGCTGCCAACATGACAGGCACATGTGTGTTTTGATGCCTGATTTGCCCATCTCTTGCTAGGAACTGACGACGTCTTCGTAGTTGATTGGAAGGGGTGTTGGTGCTGGTGTAGCACCTGTGAAAGTCAGCAGTGCTCAGGCTGATTGCTTGTGTTGCAGCCATCTGGGAGTTTCAGAAAATTAGGGTACCTTACTTTGGGGTCCTTATAATAGGGATCCTATTGTTTAGGGTACTATATTAGGGTCCCCTATTTTCGGAAACCCCCATCTCTTCCAACAGTGCTTTGGCCCCTATGCACCGAGACTGTTGCAAGGGGTTGGAGATCCGGAGCTTGAAGCGCAGCAACCTTCAATCATCACATGGGAGTTTCAGAAAATAAGGGGTACCTTATTTTGGGGTCCTTATAACAAGGATCCTACTATTTAGGGTACTATATTAGGGTCCCCTATTTTCGGAAACCCCCACATCCTAAGTTTGAACCCTTACCGGACCAAAGTTGTTGAAACTAGGCGCCTGCTGTCTCCAAGCATGACCGTGGCTCCACACACCAGCAAACCAGACTCCAGCCCTTTGCAGATCAGCTGGCAACAGTTTCCTGGGGAGAAC